ACTCATAAGGGTTGCATTCATCTCCGCTTCGACGCCTCGACTTTCTTGAGTTCCTCTCTGTGGACGGGCGGGTTGTCAGTATCATAAGGCTGAGGAATTGGTGTGGCTGGGCGACGAAGATTCTGGAGACGCAGGAACAGAAGCAATGTTGACAAGCAGATCATGTGCAGGCAGACCATCATGACATCTCGGCCTGTCCAGTACGCAGAAAAGCTAGTTGGCCGACTCTTCCTAGCAGTCTGCCCAGCCGGCCCATGTGAGAGGACAGACGAGAGGCACGATGGCAGCAGGTCCGAATATCATGGATGCACGACGGAGTAGAATATCGAAAATATAGGTAGAAAAGGAGAGAATAACTCGTACCGCAGCTGCGCCGAGAAGTCGTCGCTCGTGTCGTCGTCGTCCCAGCTCTCCTCCCACAGGTGCTGCGTCGAGCCGTCGTTGCCGGTCGTCGTCGCGGCCGCCTCCGTCTCCTCGGCGCCCCAGTCTGTTGGTGTCGTGCAAGCGTCAGCCCTTTGATCTCCTGGAAATGTACAGCACTCCGCGGTCGTCACGCGCAGTCCTGCAACAACGCTCCGAAATGTGTTTACATCCAGCCACCACCGTCAACAACGTCACAACCGCCAAACAGAGAATGACGACATCGCACGCCACGCACCTTCGACCGGGAAATCCTCAAACTCGTCGTCCTCCTCCAGCGCCGCGGCCGGCTTCTGCTGCGCCGGCTGCGGCTGCTCGGGCTTGGCCTCGGCGACCTTGTCGGTGGGCTTGTCTGCTGTCGGTGCCGCCATTGCGTATGTGATTGGGAAGTTTGTGGGTTTGCGGTTCGGTGCTCGAGTTCTTCGCGGGTTTTCAGGCAGGAAACTGGTAAATCTTGTGGGCTACGTTTGCTGCTGGTAGCTGTCGTAACTGCATGCAATAAGGTACCTGGTGGAAGCGAGCGGCAAGGCAGGCAGCCCAGCTGAGGTAATGGATGCGTGGTGGTGCAGTACGTAGGTCAGTGCTTATCGGACTCTTATCGGGCGCTCAAAGCTGTCCCAGCTGGCAACCACTTGTTTTTGGTGCTCGCCATGGAGTTATCACCCCTTCGGACCCGTCAAGACGCCGCTAAATTCTAATCCGCCCGGTGGATTGCTTAACCCCGCTGATCTGGTTCGGTACGCCCGTCTGTCCGTCTCCCCTCGCCTGGCGTTAAGGCGTTGCGCGAGCGAGGAATGGCGATCGCTCATCCCTTCCCTGAGCAACCCATCCCAAGGCGCTGGAACCACCTCGATGGGTGGTTGGTTTTGCCGTCAGTCGAGTACTGTTACCTCCCGAGCTCAGGGTTTCCAAGGGTCCTAGGTCAAGTGATGATAGGCACACCTGGATCTACACCAGAAGTTGGCCTTAGCTGGGAGCTATCTCCGTTGGATCTCACTTCTCACTGCAGCTGCTTCGATGACTGTTTTTTGCGTGGCCAAGGTCAATCGTGGCTGTTATTAGCTCTCACCAGTGTGTGCGCTGCTCGTCAGCTTAACCTTCGTCTGCATATCCTATCAACCTTGGGCGTTCTTTGGTGACATTCCGCCCCTGTTCACTACCTCCTAGAAAGGTATATATATATATAAGAGGCATATCAGGGGTTCTTCCCCTTAGACTCTTACTTTCTTCTACCATGGGAAAAGCATAGTGGTCAATTTCCACCAACCCCCTGAAATTCCCCGAACGCCCTGAAGAGCAACTTGCATCTCCCGAATCGTGGAGACGTCATCAATCTCTGGGGCCCCAGAAGATGAGGCGCTGATTTGCCTCGAGATTCAAATTGAGCCACGTGGGAGTCATAAACATTAGTTCACCTACTTGCCTACCCCATGGAATCCCTTTATCGCGCCTCTCTCTCTCTCTCTTTCGAAGTCTTCGAAAAAGCGAACGCCGCCCGGACCCGAAACCGAATCCGCCCCGGCACTGAACTCGCTGGCTCGGCCGCATCAGCGTTCCAATTGCCATAGCTGCCCCCACTGCTGCTTAACGCCGCCTCGCTAGCCCTGCGTCCGTCCGTGCTGTGACCGTTGCAGTCCAAGGACCAAGAGAGAGCTCGGTTGCCGCCTGCTTGCTTCTCTCTCCCCTTTTCAATCTCCGTCATTGAAAACGCCACTGCTCTTATAGAATCGGAGCATCGTCGTATTCCATCACCGCCATCATGAGATCCTGGTTCAAGGGCTCGAGCTCGAAGGCGGGCGCGAGCGCGAGCGCGAAGACCAGCCCGGCGCCCTCCCAGGTGGACCTGCGAGCGCGCGAGATCGCCCAGCTGGAGCAGGCCATGGTCTGCGCCTCGATGATCATGAACGACGACATCGACGGCGCCGAGAAGGGCATGCAAGAGGGCGACTCCACCTTCCACGCCCTCGGCAACGGCCTCTGCATCTTCATGCGGAGTATTCTCGGCTTCGAAAAGAGCATCATGGTCGAGGCGAGCAACCGCCTGATTGAGTGTGAGAACACCGCCTGGAACGAGCTGAAGAAGGCCCAGAAAGAGGGCACCAACTCGGCGGAGAAGATTTACCCCCCGGGCAGCGAATATGCCCTGGTATTGGCCGAGGCCCAGCTCATGTCCGCCATCGTCGCTGTCCTGCACGAGAGCTTGACCGAGGGTATTAAGGGCTTCTATAAGTGCCGGAAGGCATTCATCACTTTGGACGGTCTCATGCAATCCGAGACCGCGTACTTGCAAAGAAAAGGGCTTCAGCCGGGAGATTCGAAAGAGCCTACGACACTAGCCCCGCCGCCACCATCTGCCGCGGACCTGGCTCCCGGAACACCAGATGAGGACAAGGACCTGGAATTCGTGGATGCGGATGAGAGTCATTCAGGGGCACAGACACCTCTAAACTACGAGGGACATCTGGCAAAGGAGGCCGGGGCCGAGAAGAAGATGGCCGAGTTGTCTTTGGATCCCGAAAAGGCCTCTCCCACAGGGACGGAGAAGAACGTGCCCGCACCCAGCGGCTTCGAAAGCGGACCGGACTCGGATGTCTTCACTGACCCCATTGACATCTTCGTTCACAGCGGCACCAATATGTGCTTTGGCGTTCTGTTACTAATGATCTCGATGGTCCCGCCAGCATTTTCCCGTCTCCTCTCCATCATCGGCTTCAAGGGCGATCGAGAACGAGGCGTATCCATGCTTTGGCAGAGCTCCCGCTTCGACAACGTCAATGGGGCGGTGGCCGGGCTCATGATCCTCGCCTACTACAACGGGCTGCTCGGGTTTGCCGACATCCTGCCGTCGGACGAGGACGTGGAGCGGGGGGCGATCATGGGCTACCCGAAGGCCAAGTGCGAGGCGCTGCTGAAGAACATGCGGGCGCGGTACCCGGACAGCGGGCTGTGGCGGCTGGAGGAGGCGCGGGTGGCGGCCAACAGCAAGGAGCTGCACGCGGCGATCGAGATCCTGAAGACGAACACGGCGTCGCGGATGCGGCAGGTGAACGCGCTGAACATCTTCGAGCTGTCGCTGAACAGCATGTACGTGGGCGACCACGACGGCATGCGCGACAACTTCGTGCGCTGCGTCGAGCTCAACGACTGGAGCCACGCGCTCTACTACTACCTGGCGGGGTGCGGCGAGCTGGAGCTCTACCGCGCAGCGGTGCACGCGGCCGAGCCGGACGCCGCGCGGGTGGCCCGCCACAAGCAGAAGGCCGAGGAGCTGTTCCGCAAGGCGCCGACGGTGGCGGGCAAGAAGCGGCTGCTGGCCAAGCCGCTGCCGTTCGAGCAGTTCGCGACGCGCAAGGTGCAGAAGTGGGAGGAGCGGGCCAAGGCGCTGGGGCTCGGCTCCCTCGTCGACGCCGTCGGCGTCAGCCCCACCCAGGAGATGGTGTACCTGTGGAACGGCATCAAGAAGATGCAGGCGCCGGAGCTGGCGCGCGCCGAGACCGCCCTCGCCTGGGACCGCCTCACCGCGCCCCCCGAGGCCGCCGCCAAGATCCGCGCCGAGACCGACGAGAAGGCCGTGCGCGACGTCTGCGCCGCCGCCATCGCGCGCGCCCTCGGCCGCTTCGACGAGGCGCGCGGCATCCTGGACGAGGTCGTCGCCATCGACCGGTAAGCTTCCTACCTACCTACCTACCTACCTACTTACACCATCCCCATACCATCATCATCATCATCATCATCACTCTCGAACCCCCCAGCTAACAGGCGCGACAGACTCGCCTTCAAAGGCCCGACCAAGGACGACTACGCGCTGCCGGCGGCGCACTACGAGACGGCGGTGCTGGCGTGGGCGTCGCTGAAGCTGGACGCCGGCGACGAGGCCGCCATGAAGGCCAAGCTGGACGAGTGCGAGGCGTGCCTCGACCGCGTCGCGCGCTGGGAGGCCTACGTCCTCGACGCGCGCATCGGCATGCGCGTCCAGACCGGCCTGGATACCATCCGCTGGTACAAGCGGGAGCACGCCTGGGCGCGCTAGAGCTGGCTGGCTTGAGGTTGGGTGCATAGATAGATGCATGCATGCATACATATATCGGCGTTGGTGGTGGACTGGGATAAAGTCGGTAGGCTAGGTATAGATGTACGGGAGCTTGCGTGGCGATCACGTGTAGAGTCGTTGAATACATGCGCGCTGCTTCTCTGGTTGAAGCTGAAACCTGATGTCTTTTTGCATCTGCACTGCGCTGCTTCGCACACCCTACCATAATTGGCATACCTGACTGATGTCTGGTTCTACGCCAAAGCTCTATGATGTAGAGTGGTCGACCAGTACCTCTCATAAGGTAGGCAGGTGATGAACAAGATACTCTACCGAGGCAGTTTTCATACATCATATCCGTCGTCCGCCATTACAAGGCAGGTGTACGAGTCCAGAGAGGAACGACACATGCCAAGCTTGAATGGTCAACTGCGATAAGCTTGCGAGGCAAAAACCAAGCAGCCCAAAAATTTCAAATCGGGGCAGTCACATTCCCCCGGATCATGAGAGAAAAAATAACACCAGCGATGCTGGAGGCAAAAGATGAATGTGACCACCCTGGGGCTCGAACCCAGAATCTCCTGATAAGCTTAGAATTGCGTATTCGCAACTCGTCGTAGTCAGACGCCTTACCATTGGGCCAAGCGGCCATGTCATGTGATGATGTGTTTGTTGAGGTGTGTAACCTGCTCTATATAATCTGTGTGCGGGGTATCCATGCGAAGAAAATTTCTGTCCCGCTTCTACTGTAATACAGTGGTTACCCTAGATACTGCATATGATTCGGGCAGGCCTCCAATATGCAGTTTCTAGAATCTATGCAGTTTCTGGAAAACACGTGACCGCACACGGTATGGGCCAGCTGCGCCACCCATACAATTTTGCCGTGAAATGAAGCTTTTCACCACAACAATAGCAGCACTATGGCCGCCCAACAACAGTTGACTGTCTCTCTCGTCTGTATGTGAAGCTCAAAAACCGCTCTTTTGACCTGCTTCGCGGGTTTTTCTGGTGTTGCAGTTGCTAACTGGCTGCAGGCGTGACTCCAGACTATGGTCCCGAAGGCCCCGAATCTGCTTCTTTCGAGCCCCAGGCCACCTATGACCTAGTTCTGCGCCGCCCTTCCGACCCTAGCAAGCCACTGGGCATCGCTTTGACTGCAAAAGGAGTCCATTATGGGTGGATTCGGGAAAAGAGCCGTCCTCTCGTGGAGGCTCTGGTACAACAAGGGGTGGCCAAGGTCACAATCACGAAGCTTGGCAAGCGGTGGACTTCCCAGCAACGGGGAACGGAGAAGACGTGGAGGGAGGGTTCTGGCCTTGTATTTACTGCGGTTTGAACCACTTGGTCAAATCTGCCTGTTCTGCGTTGCTGGCGATAGCACTGCTCAAGGAGCTTCGCATCTTCCGAAGCGAGGCTAGGTCTTTGCTATCAAAGGTCTCGTTGACCTCCGCTAGTGACAGCAAGTTCATCAAGCCAACCAACCCTTCTTTTGGAGATATGACCTCCGGTAGCTTCTGGTGTTTCTCGTGATCTATTTCTTCGGCATCCCTGCAGTCTGCTTCCTTGAAATAGTCGTCAATAACCTGTTCAAGCACTCCCTCGCTAGTTGTGGGCTCGCCAGGGGGGAGGTTTTCGTCTTCCGGGTTCAAGAATTGGTCAATTGACATTCGGTCTTTGACGTGGGCTGTAGCCTTGCTATACAGCTCCTGTAGGTCCCTTGGCACCTGTTGTGACGGTCCTTGGGTCTGTATCTCCTCCCCAAGCAGTGTTGATTTGCGCCAGCAATTGTGTATAGTCGACGCCTCCAAGGTGTTGTAGTAGTGCTCAGCAACCCACGCCATCGTAATTCGTAGGTGCATAGCATCGGTAGGGTCAGCAGTAGGGTCTGTATCCAATAGCTTGCAAGTCCAGACCAGAAACGACCTCCTATAGTATGCCTTGAAAGTGCGAATGATACCCATATCGCATGGTTGATAGACTGAAGTCACATTGGCGGGGAAGAAATCCACGGTGATATTGCTGGGAGGGGGCGCCATAGCCAGACCGCAGTAATGGGAGGAAAAGCCGTCAAGCAAAAGAAGCACCTTCTGGCCGGGCTTGGTCCTTTGAATATGGCTGTAGAAGGATCGAAACCACTCTGCCATAATAACGCCGGTAAACCATGCCTTCTTGTTGTGACGCCATACAAGGTTGTGCCCTTGCCAGTTGAAGTTGCGCAAAGCGTGCGGGTTGGCTGCCTTGCCAACAACCCAGAGAGTGAAGCGGTCTGTGCCTGTATCGTTGTTGGTGCACCCTACAGATATCCGGGTTTTATCCAACTTGCGGCCAGGGCGCTGTTCGGTAGCAAGGCCGGAGGAGGCGGTCCTTCGCCAATATAGACCAGTTTGATCCATATTGTAGCGGTTGCCAACAGGAGTCTCAGCTACTAACCTCCGAAGCTGCTCCATCTTGGCCTTGGTTGCGGGCAAATGGAGAGCGTCTTCGGCAGAGGAGCGCTCCCCATACATAACCCGGTGCTTGATATGATACCGGTTTTGGAATAGGGACACCCACTTGCGGCCGAAGGCGGGAGGGTTGACGGGAGGGAGGTTGTTGCGTGCTTGCGGGTGTTGAAGCCAGATTTCTTGCGCCTTGTGCATCAACACCTCTCTGGAAGTGGCAAGCCCGCGCACCTCCATCCCAATTTGCCATCGTTTCAGCAGTGTCTCAAGCACAGGCCATTGTGCCTGCGAAACGCGACGCTGCTGTAAACCGGGGGAGTCCTTGGAGATAGTTGGGAGGTTGTTGGCAGAGAGGTAACGAGAGACTTGGGACTGTGTCAAAGGGAAGCCATATGTGCGCTGGAACCATTCTATGCACCTCGCTTGAGACGGCTTAGGGCGTGTAGATTCGAAATAGCGGCGTAACGCAGCGCGCTGTTCAATGGAGGCTCGATTCGCTTGCTGGGGAGGCATTTCGTTGTTGTTGTTGGTTGGTTGGTAACGGAGGTTGGAGATAGGGGGGGCGGCGGCGTTGTTGTTGGAGGTTAGGTTTGGCTGGCCTAGGCCGTTCAAAGAAAGGTGCAAAAACAGTGTTTTGGAAGGTGTAGGGGCCGGCTTGGGTGCCCTAGAAACAATAGATTAGGGCAGTTGCAGTGGTTGGGGCGCTGTTGGGGCCGAATTGACGATAAAAAATCAAGGGGCAAACGGTCCGCTACACCAAAAACTAACCCCTGCAACTGCATATATTCAAAAAGTGTATGCAGTATGCAGTTTATGCAGTTTCTGGCAAATTTCCCATACAAAAAGATTCGGGACCTAAATAAATATGCAGTAACCCTGGTTTATGCAGTATGGGGTGTATGCAGTAACTAGGGTAACCACTGTAAGTTCGCAACCCTGACCCTCCCACAGGCATCCTTTGACCATGGCCGCTCCATTTATTCCTCCTGCATTCTTTCGCGATTGATCTCTCAAGCCCTCTTCCCAGGCACGATGAGATTTCTATGCTTGCAGGTATTTGTATCGTCGACCACGAAGTCAATCGTAGGCGACTTGGCTGCGCCCTGTATGAACGCTCACCGAGGTGCGCTCGTGTTCCGTGCGGAGAGCGGAACATGCCCACGCGAGATCTCACTTCTTCAGTCTTCTTCTGGCAATCCGTTCCCTCGATGCTCGAAAGTCAATATTTAATTCATCACGCCTGAGGTAACAGTAGATTACTGTACTGAGAAACACCTTACGAGAGCATGGCATCCACTCATAGCCAATTTCCGTCTTTCGATGAGGGAGACCGACGTGTATATATCTGCCCCGTCGCCCATATCCATTGTCCTGGACCCCAACCACGATACCTTCCACCTGGAACTACATGAACAGTCGCCATGAGATCTTTCATCGTCATCTTGGCCACTCTGCTTCCGGCTGACAGCCACTTCGTGTCTGCGGTAGACCCCTCTTGCACGCGTTAGGTGGCCATCAATTGGTTTACCTCATTGACAGACCTCGATTGACATCTCCAAGCTGGACGTAGCCTCAGCGGACAACATGTATGGTCAGTCGTGCAGCGTGTCCCCGGGATGCTCGGGGATCTGCAGTCTCTGCTCGACGCCTGCGGAGCGTCGCTGGGAATGCATCGAGGCTTGATCAACGCGCTCCGAGGACGTTCTCGGGGAACGTGCACTTGAGGAAGGGATCGCCGGCCGGCGCAGGATCCGAAGGCGCATGGCAGACTTCGTCCTCGTCGAAGACATCCTCGACAAATGAGTGGCTCGTGGCGCTCGTGAACAGCATCTTCAGTGTCGCATCGTAGCGCTTTCGGAAGAGCTCCACCAGGAGGGTGACGGCTTCTCGGGTGCCTTCTTGCCTTTCTGGCGGGAGCCTACAGAAAGAGAGGCCTTCTACTACCATGTATACCACGACGGTCGATGGGAGTTGATGTATTAGGTGGCTGAGAGAATCGCATATACTTCCTATATCATCCGGTTGGGTCTTCTCCAGACGGTCTTTCAGATCGTTGGAGTGGAAGCCTCGGTAACCGTCCACAAGCTGCAATAGGAGACTCATGGCCAGCTCTGCCGGTGTTGCAGCCGCATCTCGGTAGTAGTTGCGGTGCTGACTGCAGAAGTAGGCGATGACCACGACGTCCATCGACTGGTGGGTGCGTGTGCTCTGTTGGAGGAGCGACTGGAATAGTTGTGCCGATACGAAGGATATGGATGGATCCAAAGCGTCGGTCGCCCCGTTGATGAGCAGTAGTGAGTTGTCCTCAACGCTTAGCCAGGCCCGCACTTGGGGACTCGCTTGTATGGCACGCACTCGGGCTACGTCGAGGGGAACCGTCGCGCTGGGTCTGCCCAATTGCAGGAGTTTCTCGACGTCCCTAGGTACGAGTTCCGAGTCATACTGTAGTTCCTCGAGAACTTCTTCCGGTGTTATGATACTGCCCGACGCCTGAGGCCCGTTGTGCTTGATCATAAGTCCTATGAGGGTGCCTCGTCAGAATTCATCACTCCGCCCTGATGATCAGCACAAGACTCACTTTTGACACTGTTGTTAAGAATAGTCTCGAAACTGTCCAGGACGTCTTCTCTGAGTTGCTTGAACGACATGATCCGCGTGGAGCGCTCAGCTATCCGATTTACCTCCCCCTCTATGCTGTTGAGCTGCCGACCGATCTTGACGGATTGGTAGCACGCCCATTTCTGTGTCGTGGAGATGTCACTGACCAGTCCCATCATTATCTGGGCGCCACGTTCCTTCAGGTCAACTGCGGCTAGGTCTACAGCGGCCAGCCGGTCATTCAAGTTCTTGATGAAGGCATCGGGTTGCAAAAGGCGCTTCGCCCCGGCCACTGTCAGGGTGTATGCGCGTATCAGCTTGTCTTCTCAGGTGTTCACGTGCTCGGGCCGGGTATGTCTTTGGGCACTCACCGAAAGTATTCATCATGAACCATCGGAGTATGCTGTCCAAAGTCCAACACACTTCGGTATATAGCTTGGCGGTAAGATGCTGAATTTCTTCATCTTCTCCCGCTAATTGCGTATACTCAACGTGCTTCTCCAAGGTACGCGGTAGTCTCTCGAGAGCTTTGTAGACTGCCTCTCTGTGAACACCGGTGTCCTCGAGTGCTTTGAATATGATGTTCAAGCCCCCGCTCACGACCGAGC